CATTTTTATTACAGTCGCATGCATTTGGTTGCAATTATTCACACTCAAATGGGCATATCTGCTCATTCTTCTATCAGTGGGAATTGTTGCTGTGGGATGTACACGTACGTATAAAGTTCACAACAGACAGCAGACTTGCTCAGCATATCTTCATATAAGATAAAAGATGTTCACCTTTACTTTGATAATAGACCTTAGAACCTATCTTTTCTTGTCGGATCTTACCAACTTTATATAACTTTATACATGATATACTCAAAAACAAAAGACAACAAGACATTGTAGAAGGTATTATCAATAGCTTGAAACTTTTATAAGTTGCCTAGAGATGTCTTTCATATAGAAGCTAATATCCCTGCTAGCCAAATACATATTGTTCTGATTGATGTCGTATTTTTTAGTCCAGCAAGCGAGTTTTTACGGTTTAACCAGCATGTTACCCAGCCGATACACGCAAGCAGTTATGACTGGGGAAAGTGAGTAATAATGGTTTGTGAATTCGTAATTTTATTAATAACTAGCTATTTTACCATTATTTCAGGTGCTGCTGGTCTAATTGCATCGAGGTAAGGAAAAGTGATAAGATATAATAGAGACCCTAGTGTGTCACACCTTTTTCGTTTCAGTGTTCGAATTCTAACAAAACTGTTCATGTCCAATAATCATTTGAGTACAATAACATTTTACTTAATTGGAATTGTATTTATTCTTTCGTGTTTGATTATATACGTGTTAATTCAGCGAACATCGTTTATTGGATACTATGTCAAAATATGTGAAGATGCAAAGAAAATTGAAGAAATTGAATTTCAGACAACATTCAAAAAAACGAGAAGACACAGTAGTCTGGATGAAGTAAAACTGAAATTGATAGAGTAAAACCAAGTCGAATCTTACGCGTTACTATTCGTGTTTTAGGATAAGTTAGGTGATTTCGGTGAAGCACAGAGTGGTACGTTTGGCATATTAACGGTGACTATACCTGATTCAAACCATCAACT